CTGTAGTAAGTGTGTGAGAATGTGTGTGTGTGTGCACGCATGCCATTTAAATCCATAGAACTCAAAAGACTTAATAAAAGAACTAATGATAAAATGATGTTTAGCCCTATTATAGATGGAGAAATTGAGGCACGCAGTGGTGAACTGAGTTTCTTTGGGTCATCCAGTAGGTCAGTGGGAGAGAGAAGGATAGAAACAGTCTCCTGACTCATACAGCTGCCTTATCCAAAGACAGGAAAGGGCCATTTCTGCTTAGCACTTTTTGGAGAACCACACTTTATCAGCCAACTGGCAATGTACCAGCTGGTCTTTTTAAAGCACAGACCAACTGGTCTTTTTAAAGCACTTTTCATCTCAGCTCAATTTGATACCTTCCAAAAGCCAAAATAAGTTACCCAAAGCACAGCAAATTTTGTGCCTTATATCTTGTCTATATTTAGATATTGCATCCTTTATGGGAAGGACTAATCTTTTTGTTCTGTAGTTATGCAGTTTCTAGCATAGTCATGTCCTAGACCATGACTAAGGACTACTGTACTTATACAAAACAAAGTTAATGTGCTACAATCACTAAATACTTTCACTATGATCTGTTTATTCTGGTAATTCCCCTTTTTATTATCCACACTTGCATGACTTGATGCTGAGGATGCAGATATTTTTGTTTTGGAGATCTCCTGTCTTTGAACTTACCGCCTCGCTATGTTCTACTGCAACTTCTATCTAATTTTGTTTCCTGTTGCCCAGTCTAAATTTGTACCTCCTTTCCTGCTGTCCATGTGCTTTACATCTGGTATTTCAAGTCCTCTGCAGTCCACCCGAAATCGACATCTGCTCTGTGAAGTGTTTCGTCTTGGTGCCCTCTACCCGCTCTTTTGTATGTTGCACTACATAGCACCCACTATGACTTTAGTCTCCTGGATTGTTATGTGTGTTGTGCCTTACTGTAAAGAATTATTAGTGCTGTATATAACTTGCGTACACAAAGGGATGAGGTGAAATTGTCACTGATCAGCTTTCTACCATATCTCTGAAGTCCTGTGACTTCTTGTGGAACAAGAACAAAAAGATTGACTTACAAAATTACTAATTTAAAAGGTAATTCACAGAAGTAAGTGTTTGTTTCTTTCCAAATAAAAGATGTACACTCTGGAACCTCATCAGATTTATACATTTTTAGTTCAAATCTGTGTGTTATAGGTTATACTTACGTTTGTTCCAATCTATTCACATGTGAAATATTAATTTCTTTTTCCATCCTTGGTTATTTTGTTTTAATTATCAGTGCTCTTGTGCCTGTTAAGATGATTGGATCTGTACATACTGTTCCTTCCCTAAATTGGTACACAAACTTTATGACCTTATCTGAACTGCAGCCTGTTAAATACAAGGCACTCATCACGTTTTTTCTGTGTTGTAAATGCTCCAAAGTGGGTTCAACTCCTATCAGAGACTCCTTTGATGTTTCAGTGAACTTGGGATGGCAAATTGAATTTGATGATGGTTCAGCACCTGCATGTAATGAAAGTTTGCACAGCCTGAATAAGCTTCAGTGGTCCCTGACTACTTCACCTGAACACCAGACCACAACTCTAAAATAAAAGGTTTTACTAGTTCATTAAGAGAGCCTGATGGTTGGCTATATTGTCTTCCCATATAGCCATAAATGGCTTTTAACTGTTAAAGATGGAATTGGGGACGTGCAGATCCTGCATACTCGGGTTTTCCACCTGCATTTCCTTTAAAAGTTGTCACTTAAAACCAAAGCCGTATACCTCTCAAACTGGATACTGTCTCTTACTATCAGATGGAACAATCTCTACTTACAGTACAAATCTGGATGAGTTTGTATTGGCTGGAGCAAACATGGCCAGTTCTGTTGAATGGATGGGCTAGTACAGGACAGGGTTAGCTATTGAAAAACTTATTTGTCTGACTCCTCTCCTTCTGGAAAAGACTTCCATCAAGATAATCATGGGATCCACTGGGAACAAGCAGCTGGATATCAAGCAGGGCATGATGTCCAGATGTTGTAGCATAATTTACTGACTGGCTTTCAGATAAAATATTTGGGTTTGTATCCTCTTTTGTTTGTAGACCCAGTACCTTTAATCAACTTTGAAATAAAGAAGGTTTGTAGTAGGTAGCAAGTATTTCATTAGCATCTGAAGCACCAGTCGAGCATCAGGACCCCTGTTGTATTTGGTGTGGTAAAAGGCACAGGAATTATTCATATTTCCCCAGGTGGCTCAGAATCCAGGATATGATATGATACAACAGGTATATAAAGTGAACAGGGTAGAGAAGAGCAGAGAGAAGGAAATAGTAAAGTGAGTGATCAGTATTAGGGCTGTGCAAAATTTTGCCAGCTGTTTCGTTTCGACACTGTTTCGACTTATTTTGAGGTTGAAACAGCAAAATCGAAGTGAAACAAAAGCCATCGAAACAGCCTCAAAACAGAACAAGGCTAGTTGAAATGTTTTGACCATAGCGTTGGGGATGGGGAGGCAGTCCAGCTGGCCTGACTTCCCATCCCCCGCGCAAGATCTGGCAGAGGGCAGGAAGTCAGCCCAGCTGGTTGACTCCATATCCCCTGCGCTAGATCGTGCTGGGGGCAGGGTTTCAGCCCTGCTGAGCTGACTGCCCACCCCTGGCATGATCTAGCACCAGGGATGAAAGTCAACCCAACTGGGCTGACTTCCGCCCCGGCGCGATCTAGCACCGGGGATGGAGAGTCAACCCAGCTGACTCCCCGTCCCCCGCAAAACATCAAAACAGCGTTGAAACTCTTTCTGTTTTGACGGAACAGAACAGCTGTTTTGGATTGAAATGGAATGCTTTTCCGTCGAAACTCAAGGCGAAACGGAAAGGTGCCATTTCGCACAGCCCTAATCAGTATGCTGTAAAAAAGATGCCATTGCTCAAGTTGGCATTCCCTTTCAAAGTTTTGTTCATTTAAGGAAGCAGATGATGCCTTTTAGTCTACATTAATGCCTTTTATTCTAGAGACCATGCGCCTATCTGCCTTGCTGAATAGCCATCACCTCTGAGACCATATGCAGAATATCCCCATTGCATGTTTGCTATTTCTTCTCTGCAGCAACCAGGACTGTGAAGAGTGTGCCAAAGGTCAAGCTCTTCCTTGTAATGTGCAGCCAGTGTCTTCCTGTGTGCATCTGAGTCACGTTCTTCTGCTTTTCAGAATTTAATTTGCTTCCAACAATCATTTCAGCATTTATTTACTACTGTGCCCCTTTTCGTCTGCTTTGTGCTTTATAGTATGTGACTGCTTTTTGCAGAGTTTGCTTTCCTGTTTACAAACGCACCCTTATTACCTTATAATTCACCACTATAAATTGCGCTTTTATTCTACCTAGAGTCTTAGGCTCAACTTGTTCCATTTTTTTTATTGCCTTCTTTTTTAATGTGTATATTCATTGTCCTATCTCCTAGTTTTGTATCATCAACAAACTTGATTATTTTTACTGCCTGAACTTTTTTTGGAGATAATAGAAGGTTTTTTGTTTACTAGTCATTGCAGCAATTGGCTTTGATGCCAAGCAGTCCTCTATCTTCATCTTTTAACACTGTCTATACCATACCCATAGAGTATGCATGGTTAAATAAGGGATGGGATTCCTACATACTTGTCCTTGTTGTGCCACTGACTTATTCAAAATGGATGTTAGGCTATGTACCTGTGACAGAGGGGAGCTGAACAGTGGTTGATGTCTCTAAGGCACTTAGGAGTGAAGACACCTATATAATTATTCTTAAAATCATCACTGAAGTGACTGTGTCCGTCCTCTTTGCCTTAAAGTCAGGTGAACTAACTGTGTACCCTTTTTCCTTACCTTGCATACCAGAATAAAAAACCTTTGACCTCTAAAAATACGGCTTACTAATAAAATATATTCCATGAATAACACAGGCATATTATAATGAGATAATGAATATTAATTGGTGTTTCTCTTATGCAAGGTATGGATATAATGCTGCTATTGGCATGTTTTGTAACACTCACCCATGCACCTATGTAAGCAAGCATTAGTGGCTGGTATTGTCTGCACAAGCCCTTGGATGTCCAACACCTAGAAATTAGTTTCCGTGTATTATCTAAAAATGATTAGATGAGTATATTATCTGAAAATGATTAGATGAGTTCTAGTGGATTTAATTAAAGTGATCATGAGTGGTATTTGGTTCATTACACCTTTTCCTCCGCCAAGAAATGCAAGTATTTTAACAGTCTGCTAAATGGAAAGAGTTGAGTGAGTGTGGGTGTGTGTGTGCACGCATTCACACATGTGCCATATGTAATGGGATCTTTAATCAGGGTAATGGGAGTTTGATTTCTGTCTTGTTTGGTTTAATTTTTTTTTTAGGATGAGAGTAACTCATCAAAAGAAGGCTTGGATAAGACAAAAGGAAACTCATCTAGGGACTCATGTAAAGACTCCTCATTGGGCAGCAATCTCCAGAGCAGGTATGAAATCTGTCTGATGAAAGGCATGGAACTAGCGTACGTATCTCACTACCGTGAAATCTACCTGCAAAATTTATGCCTACCTAAATTCATCTTCTATATTAAACTGTGCGATACTTTGTAAAATGGCCATGCTTCTGTGCAAGTTAGTTCTACAAAGCTTTGCACCTAAAAGCAAAATACAGCTAATTATCATTGTGTCTTTCATACCGCTGTGACTAACATAGTGTCAATGCAGCTTTCGTAAATCCCCAATTTCAGGATTTTATTGTTCATAAAAAAAAATAAACCTGGGGCACTACCTTAAATTTTGTAATCTCAGAGAGTAAATGTGATATTTTATTTTTAAGTAATATGTGTCTATGATAGATTGTAGAAATATAAAAATGAATTGTGGTTTACTTAGTAGCTTGGAATTTTTTTTTCAGGCATGTTCCTGAAAAACCTTTTTCCTTAATGGTCAAGTGTTGTATTCCATGTTTCATTCATCCATGGTAGTGTAGATAAACAGAGTAGCCCACTGTTTAGTTTGTGTTACAGATGATGCCCTGAACTTTAGGTCCTTTCTGGCTGTCCAAGTATTCTCTAGCTCTGTTCATGTACATAGAATCAGGCTCCCGTATTCTTACTCTAAGTGCACTGGCTGATTGCAACTGCAGAATTGTAGAGGTGATTACATTTCAGTGGCGCTCTGCGTGTCTATATTTAGCAGTTCATAAAACATTCTCTAAAAAGAATGAAAGGCACTACATACATGTAACACATTAAGCGTAAATGCGTTTCCTTTTTGTTTTGAAGTGTACTGGAAATGCATTGTGACCCTTAGCTGGATTTGACCTAAAAGAATTGTCAAAACATAGCAAAATGTAACAGAAGCTTTCATAATGACAAGAATGACCTTTGCATACACTAACAAAGGAAATTCCTCATATTGTGTTGTTTACTGGCTTTAAAACTATGAGTATAATTTTAAAAGCCATTTTTAGTCCTGGAAATTGGGGTATAGCTATATCCAAAGAAGCCAATAAAAGATCTTACCTTCTTGTGACACAAAGCACTGATTTGTCCGGGTTTCAGAGCTACTTAAGTTGCTGGTAACATCCCTATACCTATTGTCCTCTCCTTTATTCTGTGAGTGTCCTGTTTGCTCCTTCACTTTTTGTCCTTATAGCTGCAGCAAACAAAGTGTGTTGTGTATGAGTTTGTTTTGAGGGAGCTTTGGGACTTTGAGATTGATGCTGAACCTTCAGACCATGAATAAAAGAAGCAACATATCCTAATACTACAGCAGCAAGAAATGATGGGATATGAAATGTGGCACTAGGTTGGGGAAAGTACTGTACCTCAGGGTTAGATGTTGGCAGCACTAATCCCACTCCACAAATTGGTGAGATGCGTAAGAAGTCAGGGCCAGCCTGACTGCTCAGTTTTTGCCACAGTGCACAAAAGCAGGGTACAAGGACAGAGACAGAGTTCAAGGAGGGACATAGTCCTGTCCACCAAACGTTGGCAGTAAAGTAGATGATTGAAAACCACTGGGAGTATGAAAAAGGTCCGTGTTTTGTGAAATATTTAGCATATGACTCACTCTAAGAAGAACGTCTGGGACTCCTAAAGGAGATGTATGAGGGAACAAAGGCATATGACAGGTATTTCAGAGTAGGGAGTTGCGTGCAAAAATTCTGCTGCTAATATGATTTGTGTGTGTAATTCCCAGATCACTTAGCTCAGATTGTCAGGATGGTTTCCAGTTAAGACAAGCAACTGACTATTCTCTAACATGACTGTCTTTTTGTCCAGACCAGTGCTGAATATCTCATGAGCAAGGAATGACTAATGGAAACACACCAAAAATAGTGAACCGATCAAGGTTTACATCCTTTATCTTCACTGTAATGTGGAGTTTGCAGGCATTACTGTTGTTCTTTCGGAGTCTCTCTGCGTCCCCTCATAGGGCATGCGCAGACAAGCGCGCACATGAGTTTCCATCGGGACAAATGGCAGCAGCATGACGTAGTTTTGCCACTGCTGCTTGTCCCTGGGGAATGAACCTGCACATGCTTTCTGACATGAGGCAAGTTGCCCTGTGTGGGGTAGGGGAGGCTGGGGCCCGGACCTCAGTTAGCCCCAGCAGCTTTACCTGGGGTTCTGGGGGGCCTCCCGTGGCTCCAGCAGCAGCAATCTAGGCATGTGGAGCATGGTTAGGCTCCAGATTTGGGCAGCACACATTGCAGCTATATGCGCCACCTCGCTTTCTTTCTACTGCAGTTTTTTGTTTTGACACTAGAATCTCCTGGTGTCACAAAAACCCCTCTGAGCTGCAAATTAGCAGCTCAGCAGATGTATGCATAATTATCGCATAATGCAGCAACATGTCCATAACAATCTTTTGATGTGGGTGCATAAGGAGCTGGGCTTTCTTTGGCCCAAGCTTTTCTTGGTATCTGGAATTGCTGGAACTGGACTCCGTAAATAAGGAAGTAGAACTGCTAGAAATGTAATCCAGGAAAATAAAGGATGAATATTTAAGTAATATATGGACTAGACCACTGGTAGGCAACCTGTGGTGCAGGTGCCAGAGCATGGCATGCAGAGGCATTTTGTTGGCATGCATGCCTTGGTGGATGGGGGGAAAGGGGCTGGGGCTGCGCTGTCACTACAAGAATTGGGCCCCTTGTGGCTCCCCTGTCATCCACCCTTGGCATGCCAGCATCTTACAAGTTGAGGTTGGGGGGGGGTTTGGCACTCTGCCCAAAAACGTTGCCGACCCATCAGCTAGACTGTGGCTTCTTTTGTGGAAGACGGGTAATATTATCAGCTGTGAAAAGGAGAAAAAACAAATCTAATATTTAGACCTAGGTCAGTCCATGCAAGGTCTGTCCAATTATACAGGCCTCTCAAAATTTAATATGCAGTTGTTAGGCCTTTTTTGTTGGTTTGAAATTATCTGCAGGTTTATTTCCTTTGTATTGCATCCATAAAGTGCAGTTTGGTCTGTCGGTCAGGAAAAGCAATTTTTAATTTCCAGGTAGTCCAATAAGGTTCAAATTTTGAAGATTAAGTTTTAAAGCCATATGGCCTTTTAGCATATTTCAGCCTTGTGCCCACATTGCATGTAGGCACAATTGATATAGTTTATTCACCTGAGAAGTCTGGTCATGTTGTTGTGTTTATTTTGCTATGGCTAGCAAAGTAAACCCTTGTAAATAATTTCACTTGTGTGGCTTCACTCATTTTATCCTACCGTATTACAAGTACTAGCTTCAGGAAAAAATGTTAGGACTTAGTTGACCCAACCAGGTATTGCAGAAACCAAACATTGACAATATACCTCTGGAATCAAATCTTTTATTTCCTAGAGAAGAAAATAGTCCTCACCAATCTCATATGTCCCATTTAGTTTCCCACTGTAAAGGTTGCAGCATAGGTCACTCTGAAGGCTCTCGAATAGGAATCTGAGTCTTTAGAAAATAGGTAAGCATCTCAAAAGTACCAAAATCTCATTTTCTGAAGTGACTTAGACTCCTGCAACACTTGCATATATTTGAAAATTTTAGTATAGCCACACTGGCTTTTTAAAATTTGGGATGATCTGTTCATTTCCTGCATATAACACAAAATGGTTCTGGCTCATTCCATTATGTTTATAATATATTTAAACCTTTCTTTCAGGCTTTCTAAGAGAAGGCAAACAATCCATGAAATTTAGATATGAATATATTAAAATCTGTCACTGTTTGATAATGGCTTTCAAGAAATAATTTCCACTGGATGGTTTTAAGCGAGAATGACTTTTGGAAGCTATAGTTATGTGAGAAACTGTTCTTAAAACAGGGGCCCCTGCTGGGGAGCACAAGTAACAGCCTATTGCCATTATATCATGATGTGTTTGGGAAAATATTTTTGTAATGTAAGATGCTTAGGGTAGAACACTTTACAGCTGTCACCAAAGCCATTTAATATAACTTGAATAGGTTGCTTTCTTATTGCAATAGCAGCTTGTAGTTACATTTTGACCTTCAAAGGACATACAAATCCTACTAGGTTGCTGTTGCAAGCGGCTCAATACCTATTCACTCTGCCAGTCAAAACACAGCAAAATGACTGCATGCTGTTCCAAAGTGAATCCTCTCTCTATTAAGGAGGTTTTCCTAAAGAACCCTTGGTTACCTTTAAGTAGGACTTTTGTGGATTAATAACATGAGCTTCCATTTCACAGGAGTAATTGCAGTATAACTTTATTTCTATCTCGGAAAATTATCTCTATCAGCAGTATATCTGGATTTACACTGTATTTGTAGGCTTATGTTTCCTCTTACTTTCCTTGATTTGATCGTTGTGGCTTTGCTTATGTCGACAGTTCATCCGTGCAGCAGAACACCACCGTTCACTTAGATGATGGTGAATATTGGTCCGGTCGAGCAGCTGACTATAAAGGAAAACCTCACAGAGCTATCTTTGAAGACAGCCTGGAGAAAATATACAGAAATATGTACAAAAAAGCTTCCAGCACTATTTTGGAAAGAAAATTACACTCCTGATAGCAATCCTACTGGAAGTGCATAGTACAGAAGATTAATATTTTTAATGAAAATTATTTTTGCATAACAAATATTTGTACTCCCATTTTTTAATGTGTAATGTTCACTGGGAAGACCTGTTATGGGCTAGTGGGGCCTTTGAACAGGAACCCCTAAAGGAAAAGCATTGAGATTGAAAACAGGTTCCCAAGCTATTGAACACTTGAATGCGGTGCATTATCCCCTTAGAAAGCCAGTGTGGTGCTTTTTCACCACCACTTCTCTTTTCTGACTGCTCAAATTGGAAGCCAGTACTAAGTCTTTAGATCGGGGTGGCCAATCTGTGGCGTGAGTGCCACAAGGGGCATGGTTAGCCCCTGGGTGCAGCACACAACAGCAGGGAGGGGATAGGCAACACAGCAGCAGATAGGGAAGGAAGCAGAAGGCAGAGCAGGAGATCAGGCAAGGAGCACAGGGCAAAAGAAAGAGGAGAGGATTGGGCAGAGAGTACAGAGTAGAAAGCAGAGCAGGAGATCAGGCAGAGGAAGGGGACCAGAGTGGCACTTGGAGAGGGTGTGGGGCTTATTTGTGGCACTCCTGTCAAAAAGGTTGGCCCCACTGTTCTAGATCATCATCAAGGCAGGCTTTCAGTGAGCCCAGCTTTACTTAAATTATTAAAACTGGCACAAAATCTGTTTCCAAGTTTGGTAATGGGTGATGGCAGCAGGAGGGAGAAAGAACAAGTCAGAATATATCCTTGTCTGTTCAAGAGCTGCATCTAGAAGGTAAATGCCTGGTCATACAGGGTGTGGAAATGGAGAAGGATTTCCTGCCCCCACCCCAAAACAATTGCTTCCTAACATTTCTAAGCATGACGTTACTATTAATGTCAGACCCTTTTAAAAACAAAAATGAAACAAAACCACCATCTTTGGAGTGGAAGGATGTCCCTTCTTCCCGCAGCTCAGTTCACTGCCTTGAACGGGGTCCAGATTCCTTGTTGAAAGCAACAGTTGCTTTTGCTGACATGCTTAAGAGGTGGGGAGGGGGTCGCAGATGCCCAGAGCTAGGCAATGAGCTTGTATGCCCAGTGCAAACATTTCGAAGTCCCTGCATCGCAATCCCACCAAATTTGGAGTCTGTCCTTACAAGCCTGCTGGGGCTCTATTGGCAGGAACGTCATTTTTTTGTTAAAGGCCACCAAATGTTCTTCAGCAGTACGATGCTTTCCCCGGAGAGGTAACCTTCTCAGCCTCCAATTGAACAGAGCTCACATAAACAGGCCAGGGCAAATTGCCCATCTATTGAAAAAGCTGAATGACTGAAAAGGGCAAGAGTGTCCTTCTCCCGCTTTGTTTAAAACAGAGGAGGGAAACAAATGTGCGTCTTGGCTCGTTCACTGAATAAGTAGGCGGGGGGGAGCAGATTTGGTTACACTAGCATCATTTTGTCGGCTTATTTAGACAGATAAAGCCAGCAATACAGGCAGCAAAATATATGACTGTAACCTGCCAATACGCATGGAATAAATCAGTGGGGAGCATCCTTTTTGCCAGGCATGCCTAAAAGTAATACTCCCCCCCCCAACCATCCCAAGTGCCACTCCGATGCCCTTCCTGATGGACCGTTCTGCTTTCTGCTCCCTGCCTTATCTGCTGCTCTGTATACTGCTCCATGCCCTATCCTCTGCTCCTGTGTTGCCTGTCCCTTCCCTGGTCTGTCACACAGAGGCTGCTCATGGTACTTGTGGGACACGTGCTGCCCGTTGGCCACCCCTGGAATAAACCAAAGGTTAGCTGACTCTCAGCTCCTCCTTCAGTGCTACTGTAACATCACCGATTTTTAAGGAAAGAGCCAATGAGTCATGTTAGTGGAACAATTACCTTGCACTAGAGAGCATGCCCATTTTGTTCAAGTCGGGGAGCAACCTACACCATGTACAATGAGCTACAGCCAAAAGTTCCCTTCCAAGCAGCACGCTGCAATCCCTTTCTTACGAGTTAATGGAAAATTCGTACCCAGAATGCGACTCCAGGCCCAAATTGCTCAGATCTGCCAAGCAAAGTCTGCAAACCACTTGTTTTAAAAGCTTCTTGGCCTCTCTGCCATTTGTGTGCTCAGGTAACCTTCCATTAATATGCATACAGCTCAAGTGCAGAGAAGACTGCTGCTTCTCAGCGACTGCAGTGAGTGATAAGTGTAGTCTCAGGCAGTGAACCAACATAGTAATAAACTGTAATTGTTTAGTGCACCTTGCCTTCTAATACAATTTAAATCCCTTCTATCAAATGCAAATTTCTAGGTTCCTGAGTAGAGCTTTAAATAGCATTTTCTGTGCTCCTTCCTTATCTTTTGCCATCCACAAAGTGGTGTGTTAGTGACAGTAAGATGGCATAATTCCACTACCATCATTTTACCTCCTAAAGGAAAACTGCCTACTCAAATCTAGAAATAATGGGCTAGATTAAGAGAGAATTAGACTTTATCGGGTAAGTCTTTTCTTTTCTTTTCTTTTTTTCTTCCTCCCTCCATACTGTCACAGCTCATGAGTATTTCTAACAAGCCATTATTTGCCTTCTGGTATTGTTGATGACACAAAAGTGTAATTGGTGTAATATTTTTTAATCACTTCCATTTTAATAAGTCAAACTGAAGCTATTTTTGTCCTCATTCCCAGTACTGCAGCAATTTCATATGATTGTTTTTTTCTTTTTTGCAAAAACAAAACAGTGGTCCTCAGTGGAAATCTGGGTTCTTTGCTTAACGGTAGTAGCATTTAAAAACTGTTCAGCATTGCCCTATGGTGATTTAAGGGGTTGAAATGTCAAGCTTTTTAAGCATCAGCTTTGTCTAATTTTCAAGCTAAGGGAATCTGGTCCATTGAAGGTGTAGGAATGGAAAGGCCAGTGGAGGGATGGACCGAAACTGTTTGGAGCAACTCAAAACTTTTAGGCTAAACATTTTGAGCAGCTTAAACTGTAATGAGGGAAAATCACTAGAGTCTTAATACTAGCTGCCTGTAGGTTTTCAGTGGAGCAACAGAAAAAAAAAAAGACACATGGTATAGAGAGATGACTTTTCAAGTAAATAACAAACCTGGGAATCCAAAGATTTACTTCTGGCTGTGCTCATAGTCTCATAGAAGACCTTGGCAAATCATTGCACCTCTTTGCCTGTATCCATCTATACAATGGGGGAAATGAGGTGAGGCTTAATTACATGTTTACAAAATGCTTTGCAGTCTGGGATGGATGTGATTATAAAATGATTTTCATTTTTGTCCCAGATTTTATTTTTTTTAATTCCATCTCCAATCCTTAACGCAACTTGATATAGATTTTCTCCAGTGCGCTACTGGTTTTTTTTATCATGTCATGGTCAGAAATCACAGAATCATAGTTTGGAAGGAGTCTCAATCCCCTGTTCAGGCACAAAGTTTGCAATTCTTATACCAAGCTGAGAAGGGAGTCCATTAGAGCTTGCAGACTTCACTGGAAACAAAAAATAATGCATTGCTTTTACAATTGCTGTTGGCCTAATCTTCATTTAAATGAGCTCATGTGGGTCCTGGTCTTCCTTATCCTATATACTATTTGCTCCCACAAGCTCCTCCACTTCAGTTCCTTCTACTGGCGCATTAACCAATGCGACAGACCTCTCTGTCACACATGGCTTATTCTTCCTCTCAGCCTTTCCTTGTGTGGGTAATTGTTCACGCCATACAGTGGCTTATTTTGACAATTAAAAAAATATTACAGTTGATACCTTATAGAAGCAACATGTTGGCAGCGGTATCTTGGTGCTACGTGGTTCTTGAGCAGCTTGTGCTATTTGTGGGGGGGGCTGCTGAATGCATGCAGAATGGTAAGCAGTGTTGCTCTTACTTAGGTGTTGCTGCATATTGGTGTTAACTGTATATGCATGCTATGTTGTGCGATAGCAGTGATCAGGGTGATTTGCCCCCTTTTGCTCTACGTGCAAGCCACAGTCTGTTACGGTGTAATCCTGATACCTGAACTTTATGGTGTTTTAGAAAACACTGAACTGTGCAAGGCAAATGTTTCTTCCAGGACCACTCAACGTATAAGAACAATCCCATGATGGTGTCTTTGGATCATGTGAAATGTAACGTCATAATGATGGAAAATGAGATATGCTACTTAATCTATAGAATGACAAAAAGTGTCAAAATGTTGATTTTTCAAATGGAAATTATTTGCACAGAGGCACAAGGACTTTTGAAGAGTTCTTTCTCCGTGCCGTTTTGGCCCGTGAGCTTAAGCGATCGATACTCCAAGCTGTTCTCCAATGACAGAATCGACGGAAACCAGCCTTCGGCAGCGGATCTTAATTAACTACCTCATTGATGGGGTCGATGCCCAGTCTTGTGGCAAAAGCATGTGGTGGTACATACTAGCCAATAAAGAGCAAATCGGAAGATCGAGTATTATACATCGTGACAATTGAACCACTTTCCGAGGAGATGATCGTTATGAACTTCCAATAAGTCCTGTTCGTATTACATGGGAGATGTCAAATGTAAAATCTCTCACACTGGTCAATATTTGTGCTTCCATTGGGGTTTAATTATCTTGACGTCAGTCTTTTAAAAGGGGAGAGAGTGTCATAGTTACTGTTAACAGTGTATTGACTGTTGATGCCACTCATTTGGGGGAAAAAAAGACATGCCTTTTTTTGTATTTCTGACTTTCTTGTACTTAGATTCATAGACTGATTGGGATTCATAGATTCCCTTGCTTTGAAAGGGAAAATTTCTCTGAAATCCAAGGTAATTCTCCCAGATAACCTGGTGGAAATCTTTAATCTTCAACTTTCCTGGGTCAACTTCAGGTAATATTCGATCAGATAGAGAAGCCTGCATGATCCAAGGCAGGTTCTCGCCTTAATACTGCCTGATGATTGCTGTCAGGTAAGCTTTCTTGCTGAGAGCCCTTAACTTTGAAAGCTTTGAGGACTGGAGGCCGAGAGGATTCAGTGAAGAGCCTTTGATGTGATAGGACTCGTTCCTTCTGGTTCTCCAGAGCATGGGGTTAGATACTATGTTTGGGTCAGACATGTATTTAATACTGTAAAATTGATGAGCAGTTTTTTTTATTATTGTTGTTATTTTTATTTTTTACAGTGGGTTGGGAGGATATAAATCATCTGTTCCA